TCTAGTCTTGGCTAGTTAGGTTTTAGAAAATTAGCAACGAGTGGCCACGATCAGGGAGTATCGATCGACGCCTCTTGCTCGAACGCTTCCGCTCGGTTTACTTTTATTTCCTTAATTATCCGACGACGGAGAGTAATTATCGGGAAAAGTGCACTCCGCTCTGAATAGCGGTGCCTGTTGATAATCCGCGCTATTAGAGGCCAGCCTCTCTGTACTGGCATGCCATCGATCCACGGAACTTCTCTCATGATATTCGTGGTTCCATCCTGATGGATAGTAGAGTCGAATAGAGATTGGAAAACAGTCCTCTCTGTTTGTTCAAACCTTTTCAGGTGCTACATCAGCTAAGCTTGAGATATTCTGTTTCGTCCCAATTCCTCCAGCGCTGGCACATAGTACATGCTGTTTCATATAAGGGGAAAAGAAAATTAATTTTGGCTAATTCAAAATAGGCAGGATGTTTCATAAGAGGATGACAATAAATTGTCTACAGATTTGGTCTGCATACCTATACTCATTGGGTGAGTCAAGTTCCAATTGTTTCCTTCATCTGTTCTATCACTTGGTTAGGTCAGGTGAGTTGTGATTACTTGGATAGGTAGGTATCCTATCTGAGAGGCCATGGAATGTGTCTAAATCCAGCTTGTCCATGTTGGATATTGGAGACAATTTATATCGGATTGAACATTTTTACTTGAACTGGACCCAAACTTCAGGGAGTCTATTGGGTAATGGATGATAGGCTCAGCACTATCAGCTGTACTTTGACTTTGGTTTATTGAATGTGGATCAACTGATACTAAGTATCTAACATAGTGCACAAATTGTTATAATGTATCCTTCATCTTCTTGCTATAATTGCTTTTGTAATACAGCAATTATTGATAACAATTTTATTCATTTGTATATTTAATTATCAAACTAAATATGTAAATATGTGTAAAATTTTGTTATTTACACAATTTTAACAACTGTTCCTTTTCTATTAAGTTTGTGTGTATATGTTTGTGAGAACTTTTTGTTTAATAGATTGTTATTGTTATTGTGATTGTTATTATATAAATTGTTACAAAATAAAATTTTATACAAGGACTGTCTAGTTTTTTGAATAAATTAATTTAAAAAGTGCTGAATTAATTTAATAATTAATAGTCTTTGATGCTGAAGTTTTAACTTCATTAAAACAATTATAAATTCCTTCATTCCTAATTTATTTTTGTATTTCCATATTACAAATTGTAAATTAAATTTTATTCATAAATCATAATGTTTTCATAAAATTTTCTAGGACGGGGATTATTATGTTGATCATTGTGGTTGATATACCGGGTGGACCTTGTAACGTTACCACCTCGATTATCTTCGATTCTTTCGTTAATGGAACAACAACAAATTATTTTAGCGAAATAACGACAAGATAATAACATTTAATTAAACTTCAGTTGTTTGTGTCTCTCAAGATGTCTATAGCCCTGATGCAGTTTTAATACTAAACTTTTTCAAGTTACTAGAATATTACCATAAACTAGTAAAAAAATTGGAATAAATAAATTTTTCGAAACTGTATCATCGGAGTGAAAAATTCGAAACTTGAAACGAAATCCCTTCTGACAACGATTTAAGAAAAACCCGTATTCATAAATTCCAAAACAGCTGTTTCATACTCCACGACACTATAGAACGCCATTCCCCTATCTCCTTGAAATAAGTAAGTTAACCTAACTGCAATCGGTTTCCATTGCAAAAAATAAAAATTAACGCACTGATAAGTAAACAATGGTATTTGTGCCTCAGTATGCAATCCCTGTACAAAAATAGTTTGGTCAAACAAAACTGTCACGTACCTCCATTACACTTAGTTAAATCGAAATCAACTGTTATCGATATATCGTTTCCTATAGTATCCTCATAATCAGTCCACTAACCTAACTTCTACTAATATATATGTAACAAATACATAAAATATCCATTAATTAACAATCATACATATACGTACATAAATAAAAATTTTGCGAAATAAAACTCCATTAAAATCGATTAAACCGAAATCAACTCTTATCGATATATCGCATGCTATAATATCTTCGCAATCGAACTAATAAATAACTTTAGTGTATATATATATATATAGACACACACACACACACTAAAGATACAATTCATGTCTCTATATGTATAATTAAAATATAATTGAGCATAATTACAAACATTATGGTCCAGAGAAAATTTTCAAATGGCTCCAAATTTTTCGAAAGCTTCATTTACACATGTGTATCACACCGCCGCCATGGCAGTTAACCTAGCAGCGGAACCGCGCGTAAAAGTCACGGGCAATGGCGATGCTTTAATGGCGTTTCGGCAAGCAGCGCGCGCGTTAACGATAATATGTCGATTACGAGGCGCGACGCGTTACGTCAAAACGATCGTTGACAAAGACACGCGTACCCACCTGCTCTCGTAACGCGACTCGAGATGGCTAACCTCGAAGGACAGTGATGACGGAAAGCGACGGGGGGAAAAAAATCTAGCACCTGTCAGCTCGTTTAAACAAAAAGGAATTCGCGGGCAATAACGCATTTGCAGCTCCATCGCGTCGCCACGCTGCTTCACTCGACGCAATGACGACACGTTTCACCCAAGACAACTTCTTTTCTGCGGCAATTAATCGACAAGGTGAGTCGTAAACGTCACCGTCACGTTATCACGCTACCACCTGTGCTCGTTATACATACTGCATTCGCGATCGAGTATCAACTCAGCTGTTTACGAAACTATGCGCCGTGAAATCGATTGTAACGGGCCATTCGAGAGATCGATAGGAAATCAAAGGACCGAGTGACACGAGGCACTCGAGCTACTTCGATTTGTTATCGAGCGCGCCGATAACACTGGAGTCAATCGAGATAGCTTCCGTGGAGTCGAACGAAACTCGAAGAGAACGCATCGCGCGACCGATCGATCGAAATTCGATGTCCGAAGGTCGTCGAGAGTAACGTCACTCCGGGCATTTTAGTCACATGTTTGTTCTTTGTCACGAGGTTTTACCGTGCTACAGCCGTCGACGGTTACCAGCTACGCTTTTTGTTGAAAAGAACACGAACGGTAAAGAAACGTGCGAAACGAGGGGGTCCGAGTTCGGGAATTTTAACGAGATTCGCTTGCCAGGACGTACGTCGTTGACAAGTTGGCGAAGCATCGAGATTGGACGAGAGGTAACGATGCCTAAGACGGCGGGTCCGTGACTTTGCGTACTTTGGACAAAGGAGCGACGGAGATTCAACTAGTAAACACTAGAGAAGTGGGTCTCGTAGACTGCAAGCCCTCGTCTTCATCTCATGCATGCTTCCTTTTATTAAGCACGAAGTAGCGATACAAGCGCGAGATAAGGGAACATAAAATGATAACGAGGTCCGTATCGCGTAGCAGGTGAAAACACCTTGCCGTCCAGTGGCTTGGTGGAAAAAACGTCACTGTCAAAACGTACTCCGACCGTAGAATGATATCGAAGGTCGATTTCGGAATCGCTAGCCGATAATACAGTGTTCCAGTACGCATCAATATCGGCAAGCAACAGGACGATAACGGGAGAAACACGATGAAAGAATGATACTTTTTTCAAGAGTACATACCTCTGCGATTGAACGGCCGAACCCGAACGGCAACCTTTATTTTATCCGTAGCCATGATTCCACACCGGTAACGCGCACTGTATATCCCGATCACAAGGAACTACTCGATGCTTTTGTATACACAAATATGATATTCACAAGATCTTCATAGCGCTACATTATTCTCAACCCATACCGCGAACTTTTCATCTTTTCAAACGACACTACGTCTCACCGAGCCCATGACACACTTCGCCATATTGCTTGAAGCTCGTCGTGCGCCAGACGACGATCGTCCTATCGAGTGAACGTGCTTCCGAGAACTGCCGCTAGGAACGCTCGAGAGTCCCAAGTCCTGTGACGTCACGTGTCCTGCCATGTACCATCTGGTGATCAAATGTTGAACTGAAGAATTGCGAGCTATCGATCAATGGGAATATTTCGAAGCAACGAATTCCCGCGCGTTTTGAAACATGTAAATATAATTTGATTCGTTGAAAGTTTTACACCACGTTTTCTTAATTGTTATTAATAAATTATAACATATCGTTGAGTAAATATGAAATATAGCTTATAGCTACATGGATATCTATAAAGTTACTCATTTTTACTGAATATTAAAATTTTGAAGAATTATCGTACATTACAATATAAATACAAATATTATATTATATTACGAAGAACGATAAGATGGACGTGATTACTCTTTGTAACATTACACAATGTACCTCAATATATGGTTATTATTAACAATAAACGCAAACTTTATTATTGTAAATGACGAAATACATAAATCTTAACAAGTATTTTCTTCTAGTAACAATATCAAATATCAAAAACATTTTCAAATACATGAATTTAGAAATCTCTTATCAATATTACAAATTTTTATGCAGAGAAACTATTACTGTATTCTAATTTAAATACCATAAAAGTATTTTAGATATGTATTCACAAATATAAATTAACCATACATTAAAATACGTTAATATATTTTATTTTATTTGTATTAAACTTATGTTGAAAATAATGAAATTTATTTTCCAAACATTAAAATATTACCTTCAAATGATATTCAATAATTATTAAATAGTTTTTACCAAAGATCGATAAAAAACTTACAGCTTCAAAGTTCTGCATGAGCCCTTCAGAGGGAGTGAAAGAAATTTAAATTGGGTTTTATTCAAGGCATTAGTCATATTTTCAAGTATAATTATTATAAATTTATTATCATACATTATAACAATTCTTTAAATATTGCTATAACCTTTCCCCTTATTTTTTTTAAATAATTTCTTTTAAATAACTTCTTAGAGAAAAAATTCAATAAAAATAGCTTTTATCTTGGTTCCCTCTTAGAAAAAGAGTATACTCCAATCAGAAACTGTTTGTATTTCCGCGTAAAGCAAATTGTCATAACAATGTTTGATTTCTATTTTAATGTGAGTATTTATTAATATATTTTAACACTTTTATTTAACAATGTATTAATAGTAGTATTGGATTATGTAATATTATATCTAACTATATTCCAGTATTCTCATGTTACACCACGGTTATTTTTTTTATGTTCTTAATACATGATGAAAGAAATGAAAATTTACAATGCATATAATGTAATGATGTAATAATACGAATAAAATAACAATTTAATTATTAATATTTTAAATAACATTGTGTATAACTAAAATGTTATAATAAAGAATAGGTTATAATTACAATACTATGTACATTTCGTTGATTCTTTTAATAATATATTAAACTAATTTACTTTTAAAGAATTATTTTTTGTATCTAAATTATATGTTCATCTTTTATGGTACAGATATGGTAACTACTAATTTCTCTTCCTGATGTTTGATAAGAGGAGCTAAACAAATAAAGATTAAAAATGATTATTAAACTTGCCAATGTAATAAGTTGTTCTTCACAACATCCATCTTATCCTGGATCTAATCTTCTGCAACATCATTCAAATTCTTCATGGCGTTGTGCCAAACCTGGAGAAATGCTTGCTACAGTTATCTTTCAATTAGCAGAACCATCATGTATCAAGGGTTTAGACATTGGCAATTATCGTAGTTGTGTAGTAGTTGTTACTGCTTCTACATCATTAGAACCTGACAATTGGATTCCCATTGTTAATCATCAATTTTTAACACATGACGAAGCTGCAAATGGCAAATTTAGAGATCAAGTACAAATATTTACAAAGAAAGATTTAAATCCAGATACTTTAAATATAAAATTTGATCGTGTGAAAGTAACTTGCATGCAGTCTGCAAATCTGAAAGAATTATTTGGACTATCTTTTATTATACTGAAAACAGAAGTTGTAGTTGATTTAGGGTTAGACGTTTTTGGAAGGTTTAAGTTGAAACAACCAGATGATGACAATAACAAATCATTAGATGATTTTAAGGAGAAATATAAAAAAATGTTTGACAACAAAAAAACAGATTACAAAGATAAATTGCTTACTAAAGTGAAAGAAATTGGAATGAATAATTTTTCTAAGCGACAAGAAGAAAATAAAGAACCAATGAAAAGGCCATTATTAGAAAAATTAGAAGCAGGAAAAACAGAAGAAGTATTTGGAAGAAAAAACAAAGAATCTAATAACATAACTTCAATAAATAGTTCTAAAGACAAAGATGAAAAAGTTGCAAATAATAAACCACTTGTAAGAACACCATTTGGTGATATTGTACCTTCACCTTCATCTAAAACAACTAAAAAAGATACAAAAAAAAATGAAAGCCAGAGACAGAGTACAAGTTCAAAAAAACGTTCTTTAAGTCCAGAACAAAATTTGTCAACAGAAAATATATATAAAAAGAAACAAGACTGTCTTCAATGTCAAGATGAATCAGAAAATAAAATATGTAATAATTGTGGACGATTACCAGAACCCAGAATAGTAGCTAGACCAGAAAGAACTGTGAAAAAGACAGCTACTGAATTGCAGAAACCAAAAAAATTATTTTCAAAGCTCTTTGAAGATGTATCATTTTCACTTAGTGGATATGTTAATCCGCAGAGAGATGATATTAGAAGAAAGGCTCTTCAAATGGGTGCAAAGTATATTGCTAATCCCAACACAACCAATAAAAAATGTACTCATTTAATCTGTGCTTTTAAAAACACACCAAAATATCAACAATTAAAGAATCATTCTAAAATAGTTTCACACAGTTTTGTTGAAGATTGTTTTAATAAGAAGACAAGGTAAAGTAATACAAATCTAAAGTATACATATCAATAAGCAATTAAACATTACATATAATAATTTTATTTCTTTTTTAGATTTCCTTGGAGGCGTTATGCATTAGATACTAAAGCTAGTACTGAGCCTGAAAGTGAAGAAGAAATTTTGAGTAGTTCATCCCCACCTAGAACATTCAATGTATTTGATGAGGATACTGATTCAGATTCTAATTACTAAAATGAATATTTTTCGTAAAATTTAATTTAGATTAAAAATAACTGCTGGTACAGAATTAAATATGTACAGAATAAATATGAACATTTAATGTATTAGTTTTATGTCAAATTTGTCTATTATTAATATTATAATTTTTATATAATATAATAAATTTGTATTACATTCTTTATTATTAGTTTAAATTGAAATACATATTTTCATAATAGTTACCGTTTCTATTTTATTAAAACAAAATGGTTTTGAATAAAAAGTTACGTATCTTGGATACAACCTAAATTTAAATTTAGATTCATTTGTTTGGCGGTATTACGCATTATGGCAAAATGAAATCAATGAACAAATTAATCATGATTTAATTTCACGAAATATTTGATAATATATTTTAAAAACAAAAAATGGAATCCAATATTTAGATTCGAAATTTCTACTACATGTGTCATTTAAATCATTATATATTATACCGGTTCCGGAACCTAAGACGCAGTTCCATTGAAACACCAATGGCGTATACTTAGAAACTTCAAAACTCATCTGTCATTTTGTACTAAAATGGATAATGCAAACCGTGTGTTTGGTTTTGAACTTTTACAAGAAATATACAATACCCAGATTACAAAAAAGGAAGACATTTTAATTTTATTCGTTCACTGGTACCTTATAAAACAAGGATTCAGATGTATTGGAATCGGCGATTCTGTAAGTTATTGGAAAACATTTTATGAAATATTACGCAATTCTAACGTTTTATATATTGATGTTTTTGTATAATTTATTCGTGTAATTAAACAAGTTATTTTTCGAATTTTATGGTAATACATAACCTGTTAAAGTATCCTTATTTCTCTACGACAATCGTAATAAATGATCTATTAAAACAATTTTAATGTAATTACATATTGTCATAGCATAAATTATCAAATATTATAACCAAAAATACATAAAAAGTGTAGGAATATTGGAATTCTCCAATAATAATTCTCAAAAATTTTATTTCCTTTAATTTTAGAAAATATTTGAACCATCAGATAAAGGATCACAGTTACTTCCAGAAGGATGGAACACACATCCAAATTATGTATTACGTTATATAAATAATAGCAGATTATTCATATTTCATGCTATAAAATCTGATGAAGATTACTTACTTATAAACTTATTGGTAATTTAAACTATATAATTTATTTACTGTTATAAACTAATATAGTAATAATTTTGAATATTTCATTTTGTAGAAAGTTGATGGTGAAAATGTATCTAATGTTCAAGTTCCAATTAACCAGAATGTAACTGATCTTTACGGACCATTAGAAACTTTATTACCTTCATATCAAAATGTTATAAATATAGTTCAGAAAGATCTTATAGACCCATTGCTTCCTGGTAATACTACGGAAAATTTTACTCAAACGCCTACAAATGATTCACCAAGAGATGAGACAGCAAGACCTGGTGAAGTGAGGATAGGACAGTGGCTATTAGGTCCATCTAGAACTCCATGGTAATATTCGCATCGATTCATAAAAACATTGTGAATAATCTCATATAAAAAGGTTAATTAAAGGAAATCTCTATTATCATGATTTTATAACAAGGGCTGACAAGGAGGTAAAAAAAGAGAATCGATGTGATTGTGATAAATAAAATTTAAGAATAATATGTAAAATGTCTTTACAGAATTTTTATGATACTGATGATGTAATTCCAGATGTTTTGAGTTTTGATACGATTTTTCAATTTTGAATCTTGTCCATTTAATTTCAAGCATGAAAAACAATCCCTTCTTTCTAAATGATCAGAATTATAACTCATGTTTAACAAGTACAATTGATCCCACAAACGTGATTGGTATAAATGTTTTTATTCTCGCCATGACATGCCTAAAACAATTACATTTTCTTTTGTAATATTGTAAACACGTTTACAATTAAATATTTTATTAAAATGTATTATTAAAATTTTATAGGAATGATCCTACAAATGTAGGAAGTGCAGATTTAAATCCTTTCGGACGTGGAGGTGGTATGATTTATGATCCATTCTCATCCCTACGCAATCTTGTAGATCCAAGGAGACCTGGTATAGGCGCCCCTGGTAGATTACCACCGTAAGTTAATCATAAAATAAATGCACTATTTTATTTTAATCTGTATTAAAAATATTATTTATTACTATTTCATTATAGAGGTGCAGTACCACCATTTGCAAGATTTAATCCATTTGCTCCACCTGACCACGGGATTGATCATCCAAGACCACGTCATGATCCAGACAATGACCACTTACCTCCTCCAGGATACGATGACATGTTTATGTAACACAAAAGAACAAAATGTAACAAGTAAAAAGAATATATCAATCTAAGGTGAAGTTTTGTATACATTATTACTATTGTTAGTGTTGTGTTATTATTATTATTATTATTATTATTATTCACTGATTTTGATAATTTTGTAAAAAGAAAACAGAAAAATAAGAAAACTATTTAAATAAACCATTTCACATATTTGCAAAAGTAAGATCGCAAAGAGATTTTATTTTGGCAACGCATCAGACATATAAGTGATACATCACAAAATATTTCTTCACAAAACGACTTCCATTCTTTTTTATTTCATTACTGATGTTTTACAATATAACAAAATTCTTCATTTAATTTAATCAATGTCATTAATACAGCAGTAGGTAGGAAATTACATTAACAAATTAAATATATAATAATAGTAATTCTTGTTTAAATTGCGCTAACTCGTTAAATTTATTTTTTGCATAATCGATTCGAAAGGAGTGACTGTTCTTACTTCATTACGTCGGTTCAAAATAGAGGATTTCTTTGCTACCTAAGTTGTTCCTGTTCTCAGTATTCATATGGGTTGAAATATATATATATATCTTTTTTTTTCTTTTTTTTTTTGTAACGTAAAATAATCATCATATGAAATGACTTTCATAATCGCCATTTATAGAATTATAGCGATTAAACGAAACCTATACTTCGTGTTTTTATGGGTCACTTTCTTTTTCTGAATAATAAAATAAAATTTGACACAGCGTTTCGATTCAATTCTTCGAGTAAATGTTTTCTTTTTTTTTGTTTCTTTCTTTTTTGTAATACTCTGTGAGTACGTAAAATAGTAAATATTCAGATCAAAATATGTTTCTAAGTACAATTTTAAAGATCTACGAATGCCCATTGATTATCTGATTTGAAGATACGGGCTACAATTTTCGTTAACCTTGAAAAGATCATTAAATATCGTTTCCATAGGTAGCACGTTTTCAATAAGCCCAATCATTAATCCTTTCTAATTTTCAACTTTTTCGTAAAAAATGTATCACAGATAAAATATGTTCACTCATGTACGTAATTACTTCAGACAATGAAGTATAATCGCTTGAAGAAGTGAATCGATGTGCAAAATTAAATTTCACATGATAAAAATTCGTTGGTAACTTGTTTAATGAATTGCTAGGTATACCTAATTAAAGTATCAATATCTTACTTTAAAAAGAATTGTATTAAGAAAAGGAAAATAAAGAACATTTTACCGATCGTAATAATTTTTAACAATAACCTAAGGAAAAAATAAAATCGAATAATTAAAAAATTATTCAATTTCGGATCTAAGGCTCGATAATTTTTCTTTTTTTTACGAATGTCCCTCGTCCCATCCTCTGGTAAAAAATATTGCAGTTTTTTTAACATTACAAAAAAGGAGCTGTACCAGGTTCAAATTTCATTTCGAGTCTGCGATTATAGTGAATGTACAACGGCTATACATGGTACTTAAAAATTATGCACAAAAAGGACGAATATCTTATCATTGGCATATCGTGCAATAAATTCATTAGTAGTCAATAGTTCCGTAGAAAAACGTCATTCAGGATTCTTATATACTAATCATTAAAAGGGGAAAAGAAAAATACAAACATCGACTATGGTACTTCTTCGCATCACTCTTGTACACAACCTTCACTAAAGCACGAGAAACGATTATAAACACAATTCACGTATCATAATACATACGGAAACGTACATTCACGTTAAATCGGCAGACACATGAAATGATCTAAGTATTACATTCATTAGTTTAGGGGCGAATTTTTTTTCTATCTTTTGAACACAGTTTAGTGTGGCGTACAGCATCACCGACAATTTTACCAAAATTGCGAGTACGATTACAATATATGCTTCACACAAAACGCGTATGCAGCTTTTTAAAATTTATTGAATAAAAGTGGATGTTTTAAAAAATTTTGGTGAAATTGCCGTTAAGCTACGATAAAAGTGATATATAACTCTGGAGTGATTTTTTCTTCTTCACTTTGTTTCGTTATTTCAAGTTAACGCAGATTCCAAGTCCAGTAAGAGTTAAGAACACTCATCAATTCGGCATGCCATTGGAAATGCAACGCAATTTTTCTTTCATTTAATTTATACTTTGAAAGACTTCACATATCTATAAATTTTTATGTAAATCGTTTTATTTTATACAAAATTCAGAACTCTTTTTTACAAGTGTGGTAAGTATATGAAAATATATGGTCTACTTTGATTTTTATTGATATATACCAAATTTTATTAGATAATAAAATACAAAACAGCATTTGAAGAATGTTTGCAATATTAGTGTGTACACTTCCTTGATGATCATAGTAGATTACATCTACTTTTATGAACTCAAATAAATTAACATATTATCATAAATGTTTCATTTACTGAAACAGGATAACATGTACAAACCACACTTTAGTGAAGATGCATGTTTTTAGTATATTCCAATAATTGCAAAAAACCTCCTAATATTGATGTTGTTTCTTTCTGTTGTTATGTTATATGCAAAACATCTGCAAAAAATATGTACTCAATTATAATCTGAAAGTAAATATATTTAAATTATTTGAAAACTGTTGTTGACATTTATTCGTTTCTTGCATTCAATCATTCTGGAAAACGTGAGGTGTTTTTTATTGCACTAATTCTCTAAATAGCTAAATTTATCGACGGCTGGGTATAATCGCAATACCAAAGGAACCATTTTCACTAGAAATCATACTAATCCAAAGGTGTTTGCGCCAACCATCCTTAAAGTACCTTGCATAAATAACATATTAACTAACGTTCACAAATGAATTAGTAACATTGCATGTCTTATTTTACTGGACCAAGTAAATGCAGCCTTCTAAAATATTCGTACACAATAGTCTTAAATGAGGTAATAAGTATTGTTATGAAACGCATAAGTTAATCCAATTTTTTTATTTATTATACAAACGATCAGATCCATTCGAATTTTAGTACTATTCGTATCACGTTCAGAAGGCTCTTTCGGTTCTATAGCATTTAATATTAATTTAGTATCAAAAATAAATATAAAAATTTCATAAAAGAAGAGTGCAAATAATTATATGCAATTCATTTCCTTTTTAAATTGCTTCATTTATGCTGGAGAATTAGACGGTGAAAAATATACCACTAAAATTGTTTGATAAGAGGTTCGGTTGCATTTCCATTGATAGGCCTTTCAGAACAGAGTTGATACAATATGTCTCTTGTTATCAGGCGCGAAAACCTATACAATTAGGTATACCAATCAGTATGAATTAGTAACTTTTCAAAGAAATCGTTTGATCTATTGGACGCAGCAGGAGTTCTTTTGTCCATTTTTGAGCTTCAACCGAGACTTGGGACGATACTTTTCAAGATAGGCCAGCTGTTTTGAGTTGATGGCACCTCGTCTTTTGCTGAAAAAGTAAATATGACACTTATAGCTATCTTACACAAAAGAGATATGTATAAAGTCTTAGCAAGTTTGAGTATACACTTACTCCCTAATTAACGCAACTGCATCCTCATATTTTAGTCCCAGCTCAATAAGAGCAAGTGCAACTAAGACCGGTGCTCTACCAAGTCCTGCGACACAATGTACTGCCACGCATGCATCAGGAGACTCGCGGAATCGATTTTTTAGGAGTTCGAACCATTCATCAATGACCTATCGTAAAAATTGATTTACATGATTAAAATTATGATATTTTTATCAGTCTTCTTAAAATAATACTACAATAATATTTACTTCATTTGGTGGAAATGTACCATCATCAAATACCAAATCTATGACATTGATCCCTTCTGCTTTAAGTTCCTCAATTTTGTACGTTGGTTCACAGACCCTCACTACTTCTTTGACATTGTGCTTTTTCAGTTCCTGTTAGACCAAAAATGTTTACTGATTCCATTTTACAGAATTCAAAAATTTTTACTTGCAAGAGTAAGCAAAAAACATACTTGAATAAAAGTATGAATGGTCTGATCATTGGGCCGATCAGTAATGAGGAACTTCATGTTTTTATATTCGATCTCGGCGGGCTCCGGTCTGATGTCCTTCACCCTCATGTTGCTCATTTCCTTTTGGACAACAAGTGGTGTAACTCCTACTTTTTTTAGCTTTTATGTTTTTAATAATTTTGTACGACACTGTTTCTCTTTATTTCTGCAATGTGCCACACTATATGAAGCAACGAAGGCTGAATTTGACAACTTAGCCCATAGATGTCAGTCTTATAAAGTTGTTTCTCATTTAACTAATTGAATACTTTGTTATTTTTTTACAGAGGACAGAACAATGGGTTTACATGTAGACCTCGACGAGGGTTGTTAAGGTGCAAATTTTGATGAAAGGGTGAGGGCTACGTTACATTAGGCGTTGTTGATATGCGATCAATTCCCACTTGGGATTTTTGACTATGATTCGGAAGATTATCTGTAACAAAATCTGAATGATAATAGGTGAAATTCTAATTTATATATAATAAAACTTAATAACATCAGTCCTTACCTATTTGGCACTGGGTGCGCCTGGATCAGGTGCGCTCAGTAACTACAATGCTTGCATTTAATATTGTAAATTAACAATTGATTCTATTTAATTCTTCTATGTTTCGCGTGATGACTAGCTGATGATTTTTTGACTCTGAGGCAATGATCCCAATATTATAAAATTTTTCTTTGCCTGATTATGATGTTCTTTCCTTAATTCTTCTTTAATAGTACCTAGTAGATTCTAGGGTGTTTGGGCGTGTCTCTCTATTTGTGTTGAGCCTGGCAGTATTCTGCACTATCCAGCTGAAACTCCATGTATGTGAGGATGCACTCACCAGGAAACTGTAACACAAATAAGAATATATTTTTAATTAATAATTATTTTATAAAGAAGTATATTTAATTTCTTATATCAATCTTTGTTGAAGTATTATGTCCTTCATAGAATAAATGGTTTGTTTATTATATAGGTTAAGATTATGGATATCATGGATAAAGGTTTAGTCTATGATATAAAATATTTCTTACATATTTTAAAAAATACAAACGTAAAAGGATAATTTATATGAATAACGAAGATTTTATTTTGGGGCATTGTAGGGTATTTTCGTTTTGTTTGTAAGGAAGCGATTACAAGTTGTGAATGTTCGACACGTGCCAAATCTTGCGCCAATTTTCGTAAGTTTATGTATATACAATAAATATTTAATAAAACCCTTACCTGGAAAATTTCAAATAATTGTGGTAATATTTTGCCGTGATAATTCATTACGAACATACGGAAAACGAAATTTGTTTTACTGAGAAAAACTTCGTTCGACCACGCAAATTCCACGATCTGCGTTGTCATATTGACATTAGTCGATATCTCGAAACTCGAATAAAATCGATTAGTGGTAAAGCTTATATGCAAATTCAGGTTACGATACGTGTACGCATATTACAACATAACGAGTTAGAAAATTTTAGTTATCTATTCTTCGTTAATTAATAAGTGTCTCAATTTAAAAATATCGAACTAACCATAACATAATACTTACAGAAAGTAAAAAATGTAGTATCATTAAAAAATCAAGAAAAATTAATGTCTTTTGTTCTGCTTTTAATATTAAATACTTTTATACAATTCTTCACGCATTCAACTATTTAATGTTTGTTTTAACATGGAAAATAAATATAGAAAAATTGATATTCAGCAAATATAATTAATAAATCGATAATAACTTATGTAATTACACAAACTGTAGTCGAACCATTTATTTACAACTTATTTAAAAGCAACGTAGGCAATAAAAACAAGAATGTGTGAAAGGTAAAAGCAAAACAAATGTCGCATCAGACGGCATTTTTTAAATTTATCGGTGGCGCTAGTTGCGCTTCATCTCATAGTATTCAAATCATTTCAACTAGCGCCGAACAAAAATGAATTTTCCCTTTATCTTTGGTGCAAACGTTTTGTGTAGATGCCAAACAAAACAGACAGTTCAGACGTAAAGAAGTGCTTCCGTCATTTTATACATTTAGTTTTAGGGATCCGTGTTGAGTGCAAATAGAAATGTCTAGGTCAACATTCCGAGAACAAAATAACGTTAACCACCAAAACACGTGAAGCCGCGCTATTCAACGTAATTTGAAGTACTTTCCCTTCATAACTCCTAATTTAAATTTTTCTCGATTCAAATATCAATATATTCATTGGCTAATGCATGCAGATACGATAATAAGCTCTATCACATATCGCGCATATGTTTTACAAATTATTTTCGTAAGTTAAACATACGTAAAGAAATTAAGTATCCATTTTCTTTCTTTTTTTTCTTTTTGTAAAAAATAATACTACAAAATTCGTTTTCCAAACCTTTTCAACGTAATTATTTACCATTAAGTGCCAGCCGTAATGATACGTACGAAATAACACAATAAAATATTCTGAACGACACTCGTTTTTATCACAAGAATTTTACAATTTTATAATTGCAAACACTTCGAGCTTCCTTCTTTCGCGCAAACCCGGCTGTTTACTCGAATGGTGAGTTACGTTAGTGTCGCGCAATGAAAATAAGTTCGACTCTGACAGTCGTCTCTTTGCGAACGTTTGTAAATTTGAAACGCACATCGAATAAATATAGGCGTCGATACTTCGAGGAACGACGAATGGCGCGACGTCGTTCCGTCAGGATGTCGAGACGATTTACGAAATCTCTTTTTACGTAACGAAAGCTTCCGAGGCAGAAGACGCCGGCCACATCTCGTACTGTGATGACGGATAGGAAAAAGTGAGAGCGCTCGGATCGACGTACCGGAATAACCAGAATAATTGGCAGCCGGTACACGAACATCCACCAACGACTCTACACTTTGCAATGCGCTGTTTCAAGGTCAGATCCATCTTTCTAACCCTACATGTCAATTATTTAATTTACCTTGGCCCTTTTCACGTTCTCAATTGATAATGAGAAGGTAACGATCTTTATATCAATTTCTATTGCATGAACGAGACAATTTGTACAACCTTGTGTCTACATGAATGAATAAACTTGAAACTGAAATAAAACGGTCAGAATATTTTTAACGATAAAATAATTGTGATAAAATGGAAATGGAGAAGGGTTAAGAATTTTGAGAATTTTTGTTCAAAATTATTATTCAGTGCCAATAAATTAATAAAGGAATTCTTTTTCTATACGTTACGATATCATTTTTATAATATGAGAATATATCGTGTCAAAAATGTGAATAAACATGTACACAAACTGTATGTTGGAGACACGAAGTTAAAAGGGTAAAACATGCCTTGAATGAGATGCGTATAGAGGTCGCCACGTATATGCGATTTTACCGTTAGCACCTTCGGTGGAGCGTCGGTGGAAAAAAGATTCACTGAAATCAACCTAGAAACCTACTTCAACGTGGAATACGTTAGCCCCAGTGAAAACGAGTACGAACATGCCGAGCAGGCACCGTTCATCTTTTTTACGCTCGTGTATCGCAATCCGAGACAAGTGAAACTCGCCGTCGCTGTGTATTTTTTGTCATTTCGTTATAGGTTAATCCCGGAACTAAATGGCATACCGAGAAATCACAAATCTTTTCGCTATTTTTATCGCTGCAGAACACAGAGTGCAATTATCGATATGATCCGTCGCATTACCATCGTAAAACTGAACACTTCTTTCGCGATCAACGCTGCGTGTCAATTATCGGTCGGTAATGTCTGAAACTATCTTTTCTCTAACCTGTGAAATCGAACGACGATAATAGCGTGATATTTTATTGCAGCAACAGATACTTTTCGTGATGGCCAACCTGTTGATACGTTTGAGGTTTATTTGAACGTTGCTCAATGATATAATTTTATGTTGAATAGATACAAATTCATCATAAATACTGCAATTTAAATACAGATGTCAACGATGTCAAGATTAATATCTATGACGTTGTTAAACATGCAAACTTGGTACGTAGCGCATTTTATGTCGCACTTATCCTGAACAAGTAAACAAGACTACGATGGTAATTTTATATAGCGTGTTGTGACAACGTACATTGGTTTGCGGCTGAACACTTGCAGCAGTCATACTTTTACGAGCGCAGGTTTACTTACTGTACACATAAGCGGATATACGTCACCACGCGCGAATGTTGTATTACATTCTGACTAGGAGGAGCCACTAGTCAAATACAAGTAATGGAGATTAAAATACGCGCGAAAATTAATTATACCTTTGAAAAAAGAGATAAATATGGATTTTACAATAATTAAAATTATTTATATTACATATGTAAAAATTATTTTACATATCAAACGGTTTCTGAATAACAATTAAATATACATAGTTTTCATATGAATGTGCATACTTGGAAGTATCATTTGCTTATGTGCAAAGCTATACATCACGTTCTGGAACACGTGTCTGTATGAACATTTTTAAGTTATAATTTTATTCTGTATCAAGATATAGAATTTCTTTTATATTTAATCAAAATTAAATTAATATTTTTCAGACAGGAGAAAAAGGAAAAAGTACTTGCTATTCACAGTGGTATAATATTCAAATTCCACTTCATTCAATCAAGTAACTATAATGTAATATTTTATACATAATAACATAGATTTTTCTCCTATATTGCTTCGCAAGATTAAATGAAACTCATATTAACCCATTCTTCTTACAGGTTAGCCGGATAATCTGCTTCCAAGGGGACCGGTCGCCATTTTAGGATAGGATTGAAGAATGCTCATGCATAATACGGTCCTCTGTCTTCCTTCCTTTCTCAAGTACTGTCACCAATCAAATACAATTTTGAACAGCAGAGGCAAGGTGGGACATGTATTATTGCAAGAAAGCAATGTGCAAATTCAGTAATGCGTGTGGCGTGGATACAGGTGTTTCCTGTTTGAGGAAGATAAATCACACGCGCACAGGTTAGAATTATTACATCCGTATGAGTGCATAAATTAAATCTATGAAAATTCAGTGTACATTCAACATTATTTCTATTTTCTACGACTAGCGTAATTCAGATGACTATAAATAAGTCGTGTTACAGGTTTACTTTTGCGATTATGGAGAAGAGCACCCTTCATCGAAGCACGGACTTCTTTTTCCTGCTTATCAACTTGGTCGTGATCCGATAGAAATTCATGGATAATAAGAATTTCCGTTTTCGAGTGAAATTGCAAGTGAAATTTTATGCACACATAAAATAATTTTATGTACATACCGGGTGTGCAATTCGAAATTCATTTTTCAGAGCATGTGTTCTGCACGTATATTTATTTTATTGCTTATGGTACTGAAATCAGGAAATGACGTAGGTCAATGATACGTAATGGGATTTGTAAGGAATTTTTCATGAGATTGTTACAGTTTTGAACGATTACTGTTATTAATTAATATTTCTGGTCTAAATACACTGAACGAGAGTCTTACTCGACGCTTTCTTTTATTACAGATAATGGGATGTTCGGTTAATATTACTCGCATAATTATTGACATTTGATGTGATGAATGTTTGATATTCGATACTTTGTGTACGGTTGCACGTTGAGGCTGCATTAATGGTTGGAAATATGAAAACTGATCTTTAGGCGAGAATACGATGTTAGTGGATGTGCAATTTCATAATGTATTTTTCTTCACGGGTAGCAGGGGAAGAATTGATATACGAAGGAAATAGAACAAAATATCTGGTTTCATATTTTACCGATCAATTGGAACTCTTGGGACCTGTTGCTTTCATAATTGATAAAAGAAGCTACAATTACTTAAACAAGCAGTCGATGAAAAAGTTGCTTTGAGGGAAAATATCAGGCTGTACGCAGAGTTGTGGTTCTCAAA